AGATTGCAAAACTATGTATTTTATATTTCAATATTGATGTATGTAAAATTACTACTTTGTTGAATGTTTATTATTTTCAGTTATTTTTAAGTACATTGTATTATTTGTTTAAAAATTTATATGTTTGCATTTTAAATTTTTGTGAAGGTTAATTGTAATTTATAGTTGAATTAACATAATTTTTTATTTTTTTTAAATTCATATATAGAAAAATTATTTTATAAAAAAGCTAAATTTTATATCTAAAATTAATATTATAAAAATATTACATAAAAAATAATTAAATATACAAGAGATTTAATTAAAACATACAATTTATATAATGTTTAATTAAAAATTTGTCTAATGAAATAATATTAAAATATTCAAAAAGTGAATTAGTGTGATGAATAGTGTTGCACCAAATTTGATGTAACACTATTCACACACCAAATTTGGTGTAAAAATTAGTGTGAGTTGGAGCTCAAAACACCAAAATTTTACACCAAATATAGGATTTGGTGTAAAATTTGGTGTTGAATTGGAGATGGTCTTAGAAGCTTCTTAGCTCATTATTTTATGGAGTTATGAAATGCCAACATGAATGTTGATTTTTAATATTATTTTGAGAGATAAATTTCTCGATGTGGGTATTTATTCACATCTTGTATTTAATTATTTGATTGTTGGATCAATAATTAGATAATTATATATGAACTTTGAGTTCAGCTTGAAAAGGGTCATTAATTCTTAATTGCAATATGATTTGATATAGGGTGTTCTTGAACCTAAGCAATAAGCATTAGGGAATTGATTTGTGAATAAAGATAGACATAATCGTGCTTAGCAAAATAGTGCATGGAATCGTTAATGTGGTTTTCTTTTTAATACATCTATGATGATATAGAAACATTTTTTTAATAACAAATTGAAAGGGAGAAATCGGGCTTATAGGACATTCTTTGAATTTTTCTTGTATCGGTTCAAACTTCAAGACATTATGCTAGAGTTTCCTTTGCGCCATTTCAAGTTTCAGAAAATTTGCTAAAGTAAATGTGATTATTTTAGAAGGAAATCCTAGTAATTAAATTGATTGATATATGAATTTTCATTGAAGTATCCGTCTCAGAATAAATCACCATCTCTTAAATTTTCCTAATGATTATATCATTGAAGCACAATAATAGATAATAACTCGTTCAAACACAACTTTTAGCTATTATATCGAGTTTTAAGAAATAAAAAGAATTGATATCCATTTGATGGTCTTGACTTGTTTAATAAGGTTAGCATGCATACACTTTTTGGATCATTATAAGACTTAATAGCTTATTTTTAGAGTTTTTGAGAAGTCAAAAATATTTTTAACTTTTTTTTGAAGTGTTCCTTTAAGATTTTAGAGAGAAAATAAGTGACTTTAAATAATAGCAAAAAAATATATTTAAAAGCTAGAAATATTAGCTTTTTCTCAAAAGCACTTTTAGCATATTTGTCAAACATAAATTACTGCTTTAATATTTGGAAAGGTATTTTTTTAAATTTTAGAAGTTGGTCATATCGGCTATTACTAAAAATTTGCAAAATATTTTTAGTTAAGAATGCATAATGACTTTGTCGCTTCTCCTCTTCTTATTCCTCTTTAGGTTTTTTTTTTTTTTTGCGCTTAAATGTTATTTTAGTTTTAAAATATTTGAAATAAGTCGATTCAACAAGCTGAGGTCATTTTCTTTACAAGTCACACGTGTCAATCACATAGAAAAGCATAGAAGGAGCTACAAGCCTTCATGCTCAAGCAAACATGACGATGACACAAGCAGGTAAAACTCCTAACTATGGCTTCTAATATAAGAGAATATATGACAAAATTATAATGTAACTCATGTGATAAATTAAGCTGGGAGATTAAAGAGAATCAATCATTATTATTAGCAATCAAACAGAAATTAAAAAAATATAAAACTTCTTAATAATACTTAAACCTAATTACTAATTGATTGATCCCCTAATTCAAAATAAAAAGGTTCAAAATTGAAAAATTAAAAAGGGGTAGAATTGGTAGCCTAAATGTTGAACAAAGATGTGATTAGATTGAAATTTTTATTTGTTCATGCCAGTAACATTTTTAACTGCATCGGCTGCTCCTTGTGCCGTGGCCTTTATTTGTTGTCCCGCCTGTAAAAATAATACACAAATTACATGATGTTGATGTATATAAGTTAAAAACACAATTCAAATGACTTAATCAATAAAAACAGAGAGATGTAAGAGTTCAATTATATTTAATAATGTGTAAAAAAAATTAGATATGAATGAAAAATGGCAAAAACCTGTTGCATTGTTTCTTTGGCAGACTGTGCAGCATTGCTAGCCTGCTCCATCATCTGATTACCCTTTTCCTGATAGATATATATATATATATATATATATATATATATATGTATATAACTAATAGTTTAAATATATACACAAATAGATCAATCAAATGCTAACTCAATTTAATACTAGCACTAAGTGGTATTCTAAAATAAATGATAAGTAACATGTCATCACACGTTAAATTAGATTAATAATTTAAAAATTCACTACACTTTGAGGGGAATTTGGTTACTGTAGAAATTGCATTTTATTCATGTATAAATAATTGCATTAGTTTTACTATGTTTGGTAGAAGTTTTGTATTAGGTGGAAAAATCAATATAACTTATACCATGTTTGGTTAGTAGGATTCAAAATGTTGTATAAAAGTTATTCATGTATTAATTTTATGCGGTGTTTGGTTGTGTTTTTTGTAGTCCTACATAATTAATACCACATAACTTATGAGGGAATCTATGTATAAGTTATGCAGGGTAGAAGGTGGAATAAGTTATGTAGGTATTACCTATACATATATTAAAATAATAAATTACACATTTACCTCTATTGATTTATTTTTAATTTTTTTATTGAAAACTTTACCTAACTATACTATTTTCCTTACTTTTTTTTTAATTCACGAATAACTTTTTTTTCCTGTTTTCATTTGAAATCCGAATGTAATATTTTATTAATATTACAAATTTAATTGTATATATTTTGCTGGCACATATGTTTATCATATATATTAAGGTTATATATTATTAAATATATTTCACTTATTTAATTAGCATGTATTATTATTTTGTTTAGGATGTGAATTTATACATAATTCATATATTTGGTATATTAAAATGTATAACAATATATACAACATATTAATAGAATATTTATATTTATATTTACATTATATAAAATAGGATATTATAATGTACTTGAAATATATTAATCATATTTTATTTTTATAAGTTATAAACATTAAAAAAAAAAAACTGAAAAAATAACGGTCCCAACTAAGTATAGAGGGGATTTTTTTTTCTTTACTTTATATTCAAAAAATGGGAGAACTTATACTATTTGCTTACTTATTTATTTGTAATAATATATATATATATATATACACATATTAAATTCAATATTTAATAGTTAATAATTTATGTATTGTGATCTCTACATAACTAAATAATACCTACATAACTTATACATGTATAATTAATACATGCATAACTAAACCCTGAATAACTAATACCTGCATAATTAAACCCTGCATAACTAAACCCTGTATAACTAATACATGCATAACCTTAACCAGTAACCAAACGGCCCCTGAGTGTTTTATCTTAAATCTTTATGATTTAAATTTTATGCACTAACAATATATGTAACAAAAATTTACATATAATCAGTTCACATAAAATGATAAATACATGTAACTCGATCTCTCTAGTAATAAAGAATAGTGTACATCCTACGATAAGTGATAAGTAACATATTATAACAGATAAAATATATTGTTTGGGAAAAAAAATCATTATAATGGCGTTATGTAGATAAAGGGAGGAGATGCAGGAAGAGTGATAATGCTGACCTGAGCTTGGCCCTTAGCCTGGCCAGCTTGGTAACTAATGTTCTGAGAATTATCCATATTTAGTTTAATTTTCTTTTGAAAAATGATAATATTTGATTTGGTTTGATACGTTTTTGTTTAAGAAGTTGTAATTATAGCTGACGAAATTCATTTAGTGTTTGACACCTGTAAATTTATAGGTTGAAAATGTTTGGGTCACATTAAAATATGATTCAACGGCCCTCAAAACTAGGGGGAAGTTGCATCTTGCTAGTAATTTCTTGAGTGGCTAAATTAATATTGTATGAAAATTTCCAATACCTGACTTATAAGAAATGTTTTAAATAGCTTCTCATTCTTTTGGGTAAGGGTGTGCATAATTTGGTGAAAAATCGATTCAAATAAAAAAATTGAAATAAATCAACTAAACAAATTGATAATTGTTTGAATTTAGTTTAGTTTGGTAAAAAAAATAAAAAAAATATACTATTGGGCTTTCAAACTTATATTATTTTATTGTCTATTTTCATATTCTGGCTTGTTTATGTCTTTTGAATAGTGAATTAGGTACTTATACGTCTTGTAGGGTCACATAACAGATTGAGGGTTAGGCATTATCGCAACTTAAGTACTATTCTGAATATTCAACACCAAAATTATTTTGTAATGCTACTTTCATTTATTGGTGAGGACACGTAGTTATGAAGGATATGTGAAGTAATTAGGTCTTTTGACTTGCAACAAATTTGAGGTAAATTTGTGATAAATGAATTAATTTGTGGGGATTAAAAATTAAGACTTGATTGTCTTGCTGATTTTGTGAATACTTGTGATTTGGTGTTCTTTTACATAATTGAAAGTATTGAATTCTATCTAGCTGAAATTTTTATGAGTTTTGATTTCTATCGTGACGTCTTTGTTTATTATTTTATGGAGTTATGGAATGCCAACATGAATGTTGATTTTTAATATTATTTCACAATGTGGTTACGTATTCATCTTATGTTTAATTATTTGATTGTTCGATCATATTAGATACTATATATGAATTTTGAGTTGAGTACTTGAGCTTAAAAAGAGTATGATTGGATATATGGTGTTCTTAAACGTAAGTTTTAGAGCATTGATTTCTGAATAAAGATAGGCATATTCGTGCTTAGCTAATTAGTGCAGGGAATCGTTGATGCGGTTTTCTTTTTATCTATGATTATTTAGAAAAAAATTGCAAAAATGTTGCACGGGCAGCAATTTTCTGAAGAAAAAAAAAGTTGGACAAAATCGCTGATAGGGCAGCGATTTTGATCTGTTAACAGCGTCAAACAAGTAGCGATTTTTCCCTTTTGGTTAGAAAAAAATTTGATGTGCCCTTTTGGAATTTTTGTCAAATTATTTTGCCCTTTAGGCTCTGGACTCCCTTTTTTAATAATAAATTGAAGAGGAGAAATCGAGTTTTTAAGATATTATCTGAAAAATTTCTTGTATCATTTCAAACCTCAGAACATTATGCTAGGGTTTTCCTTCCACCAATCCAAATTTCATAAAAATTGTTAAAGTTAATGTGAATATTTTAGAACTAGAGAAGTCTTAGTAGTTCAATTGATTGCTATCGGATTTTTATTTTGTTAGGATGGATTTATTACTCATCTTATAATTTCCTTTCATTTTAATTTTCCTATTCCCAATTTTTTTTTTTTTTTTAAAACAAAAACTATTTTAAAGCTAATTTGTTGCATTTAATTTTTATGTTGTCCATCACAAGATTACTTTTGCAAAAGTTGACTTTATTTCAATTAGAAGTATCCGCCTCACGATAAATCACTACCTTTTAAATTCTCTAAATGATTATATCATTGAAGCCGATAATAGATAATAACTCCATCTAAACACAATTTTTAACTACAGTAAAACCTCTATAAACTAATACTCGATAAATTAATAATCTCTTTAAAATAATATTTTTCTCTAGTCCCGACTTGGACCAATGGAAAAAATCACCAATTTCGATAAGATAATAAGATAATATATTTTCAGAAGACCCCCTATATAAATATATGGTCCCATTAATATCATAAATTAATAATTCTTTAAAAGTACAAATACATCTAAGACAATTTAGTGAAATATGATTCTATTGTGTTCTATTTTTTCTTAAAATTTAAATCTAGTTGAAGCTCATCTCTAACTTTTCTTATTGCATTCAAGATCTCCGGTGTTGTCTTTTCGAACTGCACTATAAAATTGTGAAGAGTTCTAGATGCGATAAGAGTTTCCTTACGCGTAAATGGTTCTTAAGGTATAGTATCATCTTCAACTTCATCATCAACATTGCTTTTTCCGATGGTATCCACTATTTCTTCTAAGCTCTGGACCTATGAACATGTATCACTTTCACCCAGATAATCCAATAGGTTATTGACATCCATTTTATTGTGGTAACCGAGATCATTAATCATGACCTCAAGTTCATGAATGACGTTTTCACAAGTAGTTTCATTCAAATTCTCTGAGATTGCATCCCCCGAACAAATTTTGCAATGTCGAAAACTATTTGTTATTGTCTCTTTCTAAACATTTGTTGTCCAAACAGGGATTGCAAAATTGAAAGCATCCAAAACATTAATCTTTGCTGAATCAGTTTGTCCCACTTCATAGCCTTCCAATATCCTACGATAAAATCTATTCGATAATGCATCTTGAAAGCTCTTATTATCCCAGCATCACAAGGTTGAAATTAGTAAAGATACAATGATTTTGATGTATTCGTTGTACTTTATGTATAATTATTTTTTTATGTGAAATCAATAAATATGATGCATAAATTAGTAAGATACAATGATTTTGATATAATCAAAATTAACCTTTATTAAAATCTCAAACCATTCTTTAAATTAATAAATATTAATTTATCGATTAAATAATATCTCTATAAAATAATAAAATTTCATGCTCCCACGTATATTAATTTATAGAGGTTTTATTGTATTACTAGTTACGGAAATTATGCGCTATGCACGAGCCTAATATTTGTTCACTAATTTATTTTTTAAAGGTATTAGTTAAAATATATGAAATCATATCGTTAAGTGTAAAATATTACCTGATAAATATTTATCAATTTTAAGTGGTATTGATTAAATGAATTTGATTTTTTTCTTTGCAATAAATTATAATACATACTTGTGTGGTAGTAAATCATCTCATATTTTTTGCACGTAGAGGTCTATTGAGATGACCATAATTAAAATATTTTTCATTATCGATCATTGATCTTTTACTGATATTTAAAATAATGCTATAACTAAAGATAGTTAAAATGAATCTCATAATTTCGAAAAAATTGCACACTAATAAAATTAAAGTAATAATTATAATAATTTTTATTTTTTGGTCAAAATTACCCTTGCTGAAGTAGACACATCAATAAATATACGAATTTACTTCAACTTAAAACTCTCTCTTATGTAATAAATAAAAGCGATAAATCACAATCTCTTAAATTCCCATAATAATTGTACCACTAAAAATGATAATAAATAATAACTTTATCCGAATATATATGAAATAAAAAAGAATTGAGATCCATTTGATTGCCTTGACTTGTTTAATAAGGCCAGGAAAAGTGCAGTAGCATCCACTTTTTGGATGATGATAATAAATATTTTATTATTGAAGTGTTTCTTTAAGTTTCTAGAGAGAAAATAAGTGTTTTTGAATAATACTCCGTAAAATTTATTTTTCAATAGCTAAAAATATTAATTTTTCCTCAAAAACACTTTTAGGATGTTTGCCAAACATAAATTACTGTTCTAGTATTTATTTATTTATTTTTTAAAAAAAAATTAATTAGCCAAACGTAAACTATTCCCAAAAAGAAAATTAATACTTTTTTCAAAAAATATTTCTAAAGAACTATATTTTTCAAAGTAAGCAAATTTTAGAAGTTGATCAAATTAGCTATTACTAAAAATAAATTTAGTTTAGAGAGCATAATGACATTGTCGCTTCTCCTCTTCTTATTTTCGTTTAGTTTTTTTTTTTGTGCTTAAATACTACTTTGACTTTAAAACACTTAAAATAAATCAATTCAATAAGTTTATTTTTTTTCTCTTTTTATGCGTACAAAAAATAAACAGTACCGAATGAAGAGAAAATGCATCAATCTCAAACTTAATTTCATTTAATTTCAACCAAGAACAATTTAATAAATAATAATTGAAAATTCAAAATTATTCCGTAGTTCCAATTCTATGATTCAAGATTTTAAGATAATGTGTGTTGGTGTAATATACCACTGGCACAATGAATTACAGCTGAAATAAAATGAACAAAAATGAATAAGTTAAATCTTTAGGATGAGGTGGGGATATTTCGCTCTCTTTTAAGAGATTCAAATAATCTACACCGATCCAACAATATCACTCTTGACTTGTCCCCTCCAGGATACAACAACCCAACAACGTCATCGTACAACACAAGCAACTCCGAATCAGTTGAAGAGTCCAAAGCTCTACAAAAGAACACAAGGGTTATCCGGATTACACAATTATAAAATTCATCGGATATTTCTTAAGGCACGAAAGAAAGAGATAAAATCAATTGATTTTATAATTTCAAGAATTTTTAAATACTTACATGTGCTCCTTTTTTAATCACATGTGAGTATGAAAACTTTTTTGATAAAAAAAAACTACTCTTAAATGAACCCCAGTTGACACGAATCTAAATTAGTCGAACTAAATGATACAATATAGGGTTGTTCAAAATCGAACCGCAACTGATAAGTCAATCGCAAAATTGACTTATTGGTTTATTGATATTGGATCATCGGATTAATAATTGGTGAACAAATTAAAATTTTGTAGTTACTTGTTTATCGGTGCATGCGTGAATTCCTCAATTATTTTTATAGGGTGAACCGTTATTCCGTTAAGAATTATCACGGTTACATTTTTGTTAAGTAAATATTTATGTGCACGTACCCTCAAAATTTAGACTTCCATGTGTCTCACTATGACAGTACTAAATTACCAGCTCAAGTAGGGCTAGAAAAAATATTTTATTTGATGGGAGATCAATAT